TTGAAACCCCGCGCCCCCAGGAAGCGAGGGATTTTGAGGTGTCGAAAGCGGGCAGAAGGTTGTAACTGTATAGATCAGAAAGCTCAGCGAAGGTGGCAATCGTCTAGCTCAGCTTTGCAGCCTCTTGAAGAGTTGATCTCGAGAGTTTAAAGGCGCATGCGAGCTATCCGTTGAGCAGTTAGGCGGTTGTGGAGCCATGCTTTGCCGATTGTGGGNTTTTTTNTCTCGCAAGTATGAGACAAACGGAGAGATTGAAATCGCCGTTTTGTAACGGTTTTTCGCAAAAACGCCAAAAACCTACAGTAACCCAAATAAAAAGCTACAGTAACCCAGAAAAAATCTACAATAACCCAGAAAAAAATCTACAGTAACCCAGAAAAAAGCTACAGTAACCGAGAAAAAAGCTTCAGTAACCCAGAAAAAAGCTACAGTAACCGAGAAAAAAGCTACAGTAACCGAGAAAAAAGCTTCAGTAACCCAAATAAAAAGCTACAGTAACCCAGAAAAAAGCTACAGTAACCCAAATAAAAAGCTACAGTAACCCAGAAAAAAGCTACAGTAACCCACATACAGTAGAAAAGTCTAGAGAGAGAGAGAGATAGAGTTTTTGAGCTAAAAAAGCCAATTTTCAAATCTTCTGGATATGGAAAATGGCTCAATTGCTCATCTCTGCTTACTACAGTAACCCCATAACCTCGACTCTTCGGGGGTCATTTTCCCTCGAAAATCCCGGTTTTTTCAAGGTCTAGTCCCCCTAAACCCCTCGAAAATCCTCCAAACCGCGAGAGTGAAGATTCAAATCTACGTCTCCGAAATCTGATTTCCTCCGCTTTTTTGGTATAAAGACCTTGAAATTTCGTCGTTTCTGGTGTCCGTTTATTTTGACACGGAATGATGAATTGCTGATTGGAAGAGGACGAAAAAACCAAAAAAGGCGATTAGAAAGGATTCAGTAGACCGCGAGATAAGAAGATAATCCAAACGGAGAGCGTGTGATAAGGACTTGGCACGGTGCCAAAAATCTCCAAAACGAAGAAAGACAGCTCGAAATCCTAGTACTTCAGAAACTCGATTTTTTGAATTTATCCCAAAATATCGAAAATCTAGAAAAACTCCAAAAATCAACAAAAATGCAGAAACTACAGTAATCAAAAGCTACAGTAATCCCTTCAAATCCCTTTAAAATTGCAGAAAAGCCATTTCCAGCGCCCAAAAACTCAGTTTTCAATGAATTTTGGACCATTTTTTCGCAAAATTTGCCCCAAAATACCTCATTTTACACTAATTTCGGGGGTCATTTCGAGCCGAAAAATGTCATTTTTGGACTATTCTAACTGGGTTTTCACTATATTCACCCCACAAAACACCCCCAAAAAATGCACATTTGGTCCCTTTTTACTCATTTTGAATCATCTTTAGCCCATTTTTAGCGGTTTTTCCCACAATTTTCACCCGAAAATCGTCATTTATGGTCCATTTTTCACTAGTTTTTGGTCATTTTGAAGCCAAAACATGTCATATTTCGACACTTTCAACTCATTTTAGATCATTTTCGCTAATTTTGAGTCATTCCTGGACGAATTTCAGTCAATTTTCACGGATTTCAGGTCATTTTGAAGCAAAAATTCCATTTTTGGACGATTTTTCATGATTTTTTGGATTTTTTAGAATCATTTTTACTCACTTTTGGTACTTTTTAGGCCATTTTTCACAGATTTCAAGTCATTTTAAAGGCAAAAATCTCATTTTTGGGCCGATTTTTCATGATTTTTCAGCCATTTTCAGCCTCAAAAAAGCATGCATTTTCTTACCATTATGTTTTCCACGATTCAACTCATAATGATCTAGAACCTCTTTCTCGAACGCGTCCGACGGGTCCGGGTGCTGGTGATTACTACGGTACCTCTCTCCAACCATGACTTCTCATTCCATACACTTTTTCTCTTTTAATTTCCAAGCGATTTTTGAGAGGGATTTATGATATAGATGGATAGGATATATCACTAAAAAAAGAGAGATTTAGAGAGAGCAAAAGAAAGAGAGAGAGAGAGAGAGAGAGTGAAGAAAACGAGGAGAGTCTAGAGAAAACCAGCGAAAAATCCAATTTTTAGAAGCTTTCTGCGCCTAGAAATCTTCGAAAATCCCAAAATTCCATGAAATTTTCAATTTTCGACACTTTTCAAGTACAGAAAATTCGGTTTTCAAGGGTTTTTCTAGCCTAGAAAGTCGAAAAATCCAGATATTAGGCCTAAAAATCCCGAATTTTCAGATTTGAAAACCGAAAATTCGGTTTTTAAGGGTTTTTGCTGGGCTAAAAATCTACAAAAATCCCGAATTTTCTAGACCAAAATGCCATGAAATTCCCAATTTTTGACAAATTTTGAGGCGAAAAATTGGGTTTTTCAGGTTTTTAAGGCTTAAAATTTTGAATAATCGTCAAGAAGGCCTCAAAATTAGGGATTTTCTAGCATCAAAATCTTCGAAAATCCCAAAATTCCATGAAATTTTCAATTTTCGACACTTTTTAGTACAGAAAATGTGGTTTTTCAGAGTTTTAAGGCCTAAAAAAATCCACAAAAATCCAGAATTTTCAGATTTGAAAACCGAAAATTCTTTTTTTCTGGTTTTTAAGGGTTTTTTCTGGGCTAAAAATCTTCAAAAATCCCGAATTTTCCAGACCAAAATGCCATGAAATTCCCAATTTTTGACAAATTTTGAGGCGAAAAATTGGGTTTTTAAGGTTTCTAGGCCTTAAAAAATTTGAAGAATCTAAAATTTTCAGGTCAAAAATCCATGGATCTTTAATTTTTGACGCTTTTCAGCACAGAAAGTTAAGTTTTTCAGGGGTTTCTACCATGAAAATCTTCAAGAAATCCAGAAATTATGCTTAAAAATCCCAAATTTTCAGAATTAAAAAAACGGAAATTCGGTTTTTAGGGGTTTTTTCAGATCTTTAGAATCGTCAAAAAGGTCTCAAATTTCGTAAAAATTAGGCCAAAAATCTCAAAATTTGACATTTTCAGGTCGAAATTCCATGAAATTTTCAATTTTCGACACTTTTTAGTACAGAAAATTCCGGTTTTCAAGGGCCTAAAATGTCGAAAATCCCGAATTTTCCAGTCAAAATTCCCAATTTTTGACATTATTTAACACAGAAAACTTGGTTTTTAAGGGTTTTCTAGCATAAAAATCTTCAAAAATCCCAAAATTCCGGGTAAAATTCCATGAAAATCTCAATTTTTGAAAAATTTTGAGACGTAAACTTGGGGTTTTCAGGTTTTAAGGCCTAAAAATCCAGAATTTTCAGATTTGAAAACTAAAAATTCGGGTTTTTAGGTTGTTTCAGACCTAAAAATGTTCAAAATTCCAATTTTCCAGACCAAAATGTCATGAAATTCCCAATTTTTGACAAATTTTGAGGCGAAAAATTGGGTTTTTAAGGTTTCTAGGCCATAAAATCTTCAAAAAGGCCTCAAAATTAGGGATTTCTGGGCTAAAAATCTACGAAAATCCCAAATTTCCAGGCAAAATTTCATCAAATTCCTTATTTTTCACAATATTTTGAGGCGAAAAATTGGGTTTTTTGGGTTTTTTCTAGGCTAAAAATCTTCAAAAAATTCAAATTCGGCTTTTTTCTGGGCTAAAAAGTACTTTGTAACACGGATAATTCGGCTTTTTTAAAGTTTTTAGGATCTAAAACCCCAAATTTTGAATTTTTTGAAGAAAAGGAAAAAAAAAGAGACAAACAGCTGTTCGCGGTGCCAGGGAACAGGGAGAGAGAGATAGAGAGAGAGAGACGCAGAGAACGGAAGAGAGGGCGCGAATTTGGAATTTTGGCCTATTTTCCGAGAGTTTTTATGTCGAAAAATATCAAAAAATCGTGAATTTTTGGGGTTAAAAAAGGCGGGAAATTCAAAATTTCGCGGACTTAAAAATGTATTTTTTGGGCTAAAATTCAGGTTTTTGAGCTTGAAAATCGATTTTTTCGCGCTTTTTTCCCGTCTTTTTTAGAGCTAAAAATGATTTTTAGCTCTAAAAATCCTGAAAATCGACTAAAGACTGGATTTTAGACTCAATTTTCGACCTGAAAAAGCTCAAAGATGCCGAAAATAGCAAATTTTTCAAAGCTAAAATTGGCATTTTCAGCTGTTTTTCAGCCTAGAAATCCCCAAAAATTGGCGGGAAATTCAAAAAAATATCAAAATTTCAACAATTTCGCTGACCCCATCTCTTTTCTTCTCAATTTCAAAATTAACGCAACAAACTGAGGAAAAAAGAGGCGAAGGGAGAAAAAGAGAGTGACCCGCGATCTCTTTTTACATTTGAACGGCTGTGTGGGGTATGGAGAGAGAGAGAGAGAGAGAGAGAGAGAGAGAGAGAGAGAGAGAGAGAGAGAGAGACGCAGAGAAACGAGACACACGATCTCTTCTCAAAGGTGCGCGGTGGAGGAGGGAAGGAAGCCGGAAAAGAGGTTGCAATGTTCGAAAATGGGGGGGGGGGGAATTTTTTGGATTTCTACTTTTTTTTAAAAAATTTTACAAAAAATTGAATTTTCAATTTTTTTTTTCTAAAAAAAAAATGAAAAAAAATTCTGAAAAATTCAAAATTTCAGGACATTTTTTTTGCTATTTTTAAGGTTTTTTTCAGTAGATAAATCCCATTTTTTCAGTGCAAATTTTCAAAATTCAAAAATTCAGATTTTCAAAAAAACATTTTTTTTCGATTTTTAAGTTTTGAATATACTTGAATTTCGAAATTTTTCAGTGTATTTTCTGATTTTTAACTCAAAAAATGCTAGAAATTTGATTTTTTCAGCCTAAAAATTCCAAAAATCCGATTTTCACAAAAAATTGTTTTTTTCGATTTTTAAAAACTTTTTTCAAAAAAACAGCCTGATTTTTATTTTTCTGAAGACTTTCCATCTAAAACTAATCAGTTTTTCAAAATTCTCGCTTTTTTTCAGTCTAAAACTTTCAAAAATTCAATTTTCAGAAAAAAAAATTTTTTTCGAAAAAAAAAATTTTTTAACTAAATTTTTGTTTTCAAAACAAACAAAAAACATCGCTTTCATCATCCGTTAGTCTTCTCTCTTTCTATCTGCCGCTTTTTTTTATGAGTCAGAAAATATATAAAAATTTCTCTTTTTTTTCTCTTTTCTCTCTTTTTTCATGCAAATTCCGCAATTTTCTAGGTTTTCAGCTTCAAAAATGGCACAAAATCGCAAAATTCAGATGGAAAACCCCGAAAAAACGGAGAAAATCGATGAAAAATGAAGAAAATCCACAAAAAAAATCTGAAAAAAACAATGTGTGCAACTTGTCGTGACGGTGTTTGCACACTTTTGCGATTTACTACAGTACGAAAAATCGGAATTTCAGCGAATTTCAGCCGTTTTCAATGGATTTTCAGCGAGAAAAAGCCAAGAAACCTGAAAAATTGAGAGAAAAAAAGGAAGAGAAACTAAAAACATTTATTATTGGGTGTCTCTTGTGTGCAGGTGTCTCATTAAACTAGCCTCACTGGTGGTCAGCCGAGAAGAGAAAAGTTTTTAAAATTGAACCAATTTTTATGAGTCATTCGATTCTCATTGTTTAAAAACACATTTTTAGGCGAAAAAAGCGCTCAAAACCACCCGGAAATTCAAATTCTGTGCATTTTGGCGTCAGGGCGCTACAGTAATCCCTCAAAATTGAATTTTAGCGTTTCCAGTCGATATTTAGCCAGAAAAAAGCTAGAATAGATGAAAAATTGCGAGAAATTCGATTTCCAACAAGAAACTTCCAGAAAAATGGAGGAAAAATCGAGAAAATCGCTCAAAATTAGCTAAAATTTGAAATCTGTGCATTCTTGCGTCAGAGTGTTGATTTTTAAGCATTTTTCGAGTTTTCTTAGGCTGTCAGACGCTTCAAAAACAAAAATAGACCTAAACATCCAAAAAAGCGCCCAAAACCACCGAACATTCAAATTCTGTGCATTTTGGCGTCTGGGTGCTACAGTAATCCTTAATAGTTTATTTTCAGCGTTTTCAGTCAGTTCTAGGCCGATTTTCAGCGGGAAAAAAGCTAGAATGGGTGAAAAACTATGAGAAATTCGATTTTCAGTAAGAAAATTCTAGAAAAATCGAAGAAAAAGCGGGAAAAGGCTAAATTAAATGTATAATCAGGCGAAATGGTGCGACGAATCGCATAAATTTCTATGTACAGAGTATAAACAAGAGAATTTAGGAGGGAGATTTGATTTTGCGAAGGTCAAGCTGTCTCTTCCGTTCGGTTTTTCGCTGGAGAGAGAGAGAGAGAGAGAGAGGGAAGAGAGAAGCAGAGAAAGAAAGGAGGCGATAATCCGTTTATACGGAAAACTCTCTTCGCCGGCGATGACGAATCGTAAATTGATTTGATCAATTTACAGGAGAAGAGAGATTTGGCGGGAAATTTGAATAATTTTCGAATTTTAATTTGAAATTTGGGTCGGAAAAAATTAATTACTTATGCGAAAATGGCCGAAATTTTGAAATTTTCTCATTAGAGCGCACTTGCTAGAAATTTGAAAATTCCACAGAAAGTTGAAAAAAACTTGATTTTTCGAAAATTTCGAAAAATTGCATTTTTCTCACTAGAGCGCGTTCTCAATGCAATGCTAAATTTTAAATTTTGAGCAAATTTTTAAAAATTCTGATTAGAGCGCGTTTTCACAGAAAAAACTTTCGAAAAATAGAAATTAAAAAACTCAAAAAATTGAGCATTTTAATTTTTAGAAATTTCTAAATTTAAAAAATCCAGAAATTCAAAAATTCAAAAATTCGAAAATTCGAAAGTTCAAAAATTCAAAAATTCAGAAATTCAAAAAATCCGAAAATTCAAAAAATAGGAAAATTCAAAAATTTAGAAATTAGAAAATGTTCTAAAAAATTTTCAAAAATTGAATTTTTCAAAAAATTCTCTATAGAGCGCATTTTTGCAAAAACTTCAAAAAATCCGAAAATTCAAAATTTCGAAAATTCAGAAATTCAAAAATTCAAAAAATCAAAAAATCGAAATCCGAAAATTCAAAAATCCAAAAATTCAAAAAATCAAAAATCCGAAAATTCAGAAATTTAAAAATCCGAAAATTCAAAAATTCAAAAATTCAGAAATTCAAAAAATCCGAAAATTCAAAATTTCGAAAATTCAAAAATTCAAAAATTCAGAAATCGGAAAATTCAAAATCCGGAAATTCAAAAATTCGAAAATTCAAAAATTCAGAAATTCAAAAATCCGAACATTCAAAAATTCAAAAATCCGAAAATTCGAAAAAAAATTTTTTTTTTTCCCAAAAATTCAAAAATTCCAAAATCAGCTAATCCTAAAAATCAAAAATTTTTGGAAAATTTAAAAATTTTCAGAATTTTCGCATTAAAGCGAATTTTCCAATAACTGAAAAGCGGTAGGGTAAAAAAAAAGTGCTAGGTGAAAAATTGAAAAATCCAGAAGTTTCTTCTTCCCGAAACTTTTTCCCTCTCTTCTCTCTCTCTCTGCGTCTCTCAGTTTTCATACTCTCTCATTTTTCGCTTTTTTCAACGACCGTAATGTGTGGATAACGGATTATTTTTCTTCCGAATTGTGGGAAGCAAAAAGAGCGGGAAAAAAAAAACTAGAAACATGGAAAAAGGAGGTTTTGGGGGGGGGGGCTACAGTAATCCCAAAATAGTACAGTAATCCAATGAGAAAGCTACAGTACCTGAGCATCGTGTCGAAAACAGAACAACTACCGTAATCCAGAATCTTCAATACACTCAGAAATGTGCAGTATTTTGGGACCTTTAGTAATCCTTGAAGTCTACAGTATTCCAGGATCTACAGTAATCCCAATATGAACAACAGTAACCCACAAACTCCTTGGCAGAATTACTGAAGTAATCCTAGAAATCTACAGTAATCTAGGATTTACAGCTCCTTGTCATCGAAAGCTACAGTAGACCCAAAAAACTACAGTAAGCCTAGAAATGTGCAGTGTTCTCGGCTATCTACAGTATCCTAGGAAACTACCGTATTCCTAGAGCTACAGTACTCCCAAGAAGAACAAAAAACAAAAAAAATACAGTAATCCCGGATCTACAGCTCCTTGCCAGCAGGATCTGTAGTAGTTACAAAAAGCTACAGTAATCCTGGAAAGCTACAGTATTCTCGGCTTCATACAGTAATCACAGGAAAATACCGTGTCCCAGAATCTACAGTAACCCTGAAAGTTACTGTAACCCCAACCAAAACTCTGTAATTCACTTTGGTCTGTTTTTGAGCCGTTTTCAGTCCGTTTCAACATTTTTTGATCATTTCAGACCATTTTTAGCATTTTTAAGTTTATTTCTCACTATTTTTGGACCATACTGTACCCAATTTTTACCCAAATTTTGACCAAAATCTCCCAAATTTTCCCACTTTTTTCGTCTAAATCTCTTCTTCTTCTTCTTACCAACTATACTGTGCAATGAATACGATGATAATCTCTGGTGTGGAGAAATTCCAGAAGACGAATTCTGACTACTGTAGCGTTGAATTGTGTCCTGAGCCATGGAATAGCGGGAGTAACTGCCGGCGCTACTCCCATTTCCTACCATTTGGACAGGGATTTCGCGCTGAAACTACCAGATTTTCGAGAATAGTTATTTGCAGAATGTGTGCGATAGAGCGAGAATTCTACACCACTTTGGAGAACTCGAAAATTCCCATTTTGAGCCGAGATATAACAATTTTTAGGTTTACGTGGCCTTGATGACCGAGGTTTTGGTGGCCTAGAAACTCTGAAACTAGGCCAGCGACTTGGAAATTAGCATTTTTGAATTCAGCTAGTTTAGAGCTTCAAAATGAGTATAATCATGACTAAGTTGGGCGAATTTTGATTTTTCGAGGGTCCATGCGCCTTTAAACTTGAAAATTCTAATTTTGAACTAACCTAGTCTTGGTTATACTCATTTTTAAGCTCTGAATAAGCTGAACTCAAAAATATGAGTTTCAAGAAGTGAAATTGAAACAGAAGCTAGTTACGACCCCTTTACAGTGTTTTGAAAAATCCTTGGAAAATGAAATTCGGTCGTATTTCTTTATTTTTCGGTTTTTTCACATTTAAAGTTTGGATTTTGAATTTAGCTTGTTTAGAGCTTCAAAATGAGTATAATCACGACTATGCTAGACAAATTTTGAATTTTCGACTTTAAAGGTGCATGGACCCTCGAAAAATCGAAATTCAGCAAAATGGGTCGTGTTTGAGCTCATTTTAAAGCTCTAAATTTGAGAATTTCAAAAAATTAAGTATTACATTATAAAAATCAAAAATAAGCAAGATAAGATAGTTTTACAGGTTTTTGACTAATCCTTGGAAAACGAAATTTGGTTGTATTTTGTTATTTTTTGATTTTCAGTTTTTTAAAGTTATATTTTTGAGTTTAGCTATTTCAAAGCTTCAAAATGAGTATAATCATGACTAGGTTCTGCATATTTGTAATTTTCCGGTTTAAAGGCGCATGGACCCTCGAAAAATGAAAATTCTCCAGAACATGTCGTGTTTAGGCTCATTTTGAAGCTCTCAACAAGGCAAATCCAAATATAGTAATTTCGAATAAAAATTCCACTTCATCAGCTCAAAAAACCCCATACCTTATAAACTCTTTCTGGCTCGGGCTCTCCTTGCAACGGACGCGCGGTGTGCTCCAATTCTACCGTAGTATGTCGTTGCCCAGTGCTGCTGACCCGTCGTGTCACGTAGTGAAACTGGTATGTCGAAGCGGTTCGGGTCGCACTTACAGGTCTACAGTAATCCTTTTAGAGGGAAGTTCAAATTTTGAAAATTGGAAAAACCAAGCTATTTAGAGTCATTTTAGAGCAAATTTCATGCGGTTTTTTTTGTGAATTTGAGCAAATGCGCTCTACCGAACAAAGTCCAATAGAGCGAATTTGCATTCTACATACGTTGTGGGTAATTCTCGAAACGATGTGCGTGTCTCGATGCCATTGGAAGACCCTCGACCTCCGAAACGCTCAAAATTCCCAAAATCCGAATTTTGGGTCCCGCCACGAAAACTCTCGGATCTTCTCTGGCTTCCAGAATTTTCGATAAAATTCCACGTCGACGATCGAAATTCTGCGTCATCGTCGTCTTCAGAATCGGCGAAGACGTCGTCGAAGTTCCGACGACGAGTCGTCATTGTTAGTAGCGTTACGGTAGTTAGGATTACGGTAGAAGGTCTAGAAAATTGACCAGGTAATTAAGTACGGTTGGCAGAGGTTAAAAACGGCAAAAAATTTAAAAAATCCATAAAATGTGAGCTCGAACAAAGAGGAACCAATTTCTAGAGGTGACGGTGGCCGACTAGTTGTGACCTAGGAATCTTAAAACTAGGCCAACGAGTCTTGAAAACTATGCATTTAAATTTGGCGCGTTTAAAGCTTCAAAATGAGCCCAAACACGGCCTATTTAGCTGAATTTTGGTTTTTCGAGGGTCGATGCGCCTTTAAACTGGAAAATTCAAAATTTGCCAAACCTAGCCATGATTATACTCATTTTAAAGCTAATTAGCTACAAAATTCGAAAATATAACTTTCAAAAAGTCTAACTGAGAATGAATCCATATATGAACGTTTAAAAATTCTTTGAAAAATGTTGAACACAGCGAAATTGGATCAGATCTTGCTTGTTTTTGATTTTCAACTTTTCAAAATTAGATTTTTGAATTTGCCGCTTTATTAGCTTCAAAACAAGTATAATCATGCCTAGGTTAGACAAACTTTGAGTTTTGGACTTTAAAGGCGCATGGACCCTAGACAAAACTGGGAAATTTCAAAATTGAGCAAAATGGGTCGTATTTAGGCTCATTTTGAAGTAAGACTAGTGAATTTCAAAAATAAAAGTTTCAAATGATTCAAACAGAAAACAATAGAGATAAGACGGTTTTACTGTTTTATGAAAAAAAATTGAATCAAAGGAATTGAATCATATTAGTGCTCATTTTCCATTCTCTGTCATTTTAAATAACATTTTCAATTTTACAGTATTTAGAGCTTCAAAATGAGCCTAAACACGACCAATTTCGGTCAACTTTGAATTTCCCAGTTTAAAGGCGCATGGACCCTCGAAAAAATGGAAATAGAGCAAAATGGGTCGTGTTTGGGCTCATTTCAAAGCTTAAGACGCAACAAATTCAAAAATTGAAATTTCAAAATCTAATTATGAATTTTTAGACCACAAAATCAGCGTTTTCCAATTTTCAGTTTTTTTTCAGACTTTTGAAAATAAATTCGTAAAATTAGTGAAAATTGTGGATTTTTCAAAAATTTCTGGAAAATAACTAATTTGTAGCTCGAAATGGAATTTCTAGAAAATTTCTAAAAAAACTTTCTTCCGAAAAAAAAGGCGAAAAAATAGAAGATAGAACCTTTTTTGTGGACCACCTGGGTCTCCGAAATTTCTCTTTTTTGGTTTTCTAGAAGTTTGTGGGGGGTCCAGTACTTCATTTTTTTAAGAAGTGACAAAAAATGTATCCTGATGATAACATTTTTCTCTTAAATGTCAAAAAATAAAGGAATTTTAATACTATCAAAATAGAAATTTCGATTTCTTGAATTTAAAGGCGCATGGACCGATTTTATGGTTCAAAAAACATTATTTTTGAATTTAACTTGTTCCTAGCTTCAAAATGAGCCTAAACACGACCCATTTTGCTCAATTTTGATTTTTCGAGTTTAAAGGCGCATGGACCATCGGATAATCAAAATTGAGCAAAGTGGGTTGTGTTTAGGCTCAATTTGAAGCTACTAACTTGAAAAATTCAAAAATCGCAATTTTTAAAGTCAAATAACAAAAAAATAAGCAAAACAAAACCTAATTTTTCAAGAATTTTCCAAAAAAACTGAAAAGCCGTCATAACTTAGTTAATTTTCAATTTTACGGTCTGAAAATTATATATTTGATTTCAGCTTGTTTAGAGTTTCAAAATGAGCATAATCATGACTATGCTAGGCAAAATTTGAATTTTCGAGTTCAAAGGCACATGGACCCCCGTAAAATCAAAAATTGAGCAAAATGGGTCGTGTTTAGGCTCATTTCAAAGCTCAAAATGCAAGAATTTCAAAAATTTAAATTTTACATCATAAAAATAAAAAATAGGCAAGATAATACAGATTTACATTTTTTTGACTAATCCTTGGAAAATTAAATTTGGTTGTATTTTGTAAACTTTTGGTTTTTGTTCATTTAAAGTCATATTTTGGAATTCAGCTAATTAAGAGCTTCAAAATGAGTATAATCACGACTATGCTAGACAAATTTTGATTTTTCGACTTTAAAGGTGCATGGACCCCCGTAAAATCAAAAATTGAGCAAAATGGGTCGTGTTTAGGCTCATTTCAAAGCTCAAAACACGAGAAATTCAAAAATTATAATTTCAAACCTTAGTTTCAAGTTTCTAGACTAAAAAAAGTGAGAACAAGAAAGTCAAAAGTTAGGTTTTCAGCAAGAAATATACAAAGATTGGGGGTCATTTTGATGAATTTAAAAGTAAATTTTAAGAATAAAATTTCAGAAAAAAAGTGGGGAAAATGCCAATAAATGGGTGTGACGCGTTAAACATAATTTTCACACTCTTCCCTTCCAGAAAAAGAAAACGATTCCAAAAATTTTTGTGTATGTATGTTTACATACTAAAAATTTGTGTTTGATGCCTTTTTTTTGGAGGCAAAATGCGCAAAAATGGTGATACTGATAGTGATGACGACACTCATTTCTTATCAATTCTTTTTTGAATAATACCAATATACACAATCAGCCAAGGTGGACACTTTTTGAATTTGGACAAGGGCCAAAATTTCCTATTGAAACTGAAATTTTCAAATTCGGCTTGTTTAGAGCTTCAAAATGAGCCTAAACACGGCCCATTTTGCTGAGCTTTGGTTTTTCGCGTTTAAAGGCGCATGGACTATCGAAAAATTCCGAAAAATCTAAATTGAGCAAAATGGGTCGTGTTTAGGATCATTTTGAAGCTCTAAATTTGAGAATTCCAAAAAGTTACGTATTACCTTCTAAAAATCAAAAATAAGCAAGATAAGATAGTTTTACAGGTTTTTGACTAATCCTTGGAAAACGAAATTTGGTCGTATTTCGTTATTTTTCGATTTTTTTTGTTCATTTAAAGTCATATTTTTGAATTAGGCTCGTTTAGAGCTTCAAAATGAGTATAATCATGACTAGGTTTTGCAAAATTTGAATTTTCCACTTTAAAGGCGCATGGACCATTGAAAAATTGAAATCCACCAAAATGGGTCGTGTTTGGGCTCAATTTGAAGCTCAAAATGCGAGAATTTCAAAAATATAAGTTTTACATGACAAAAAATAGTGATAAGCTAGATAAAACGACATTAATGTTTTTTTTTTTTTGAAAAATTCTTGGAAAATTAAATTTCATTGTATTTCGTAAACTTTTGATTTTTGTTCATTTAAAGTTATATAGTGGAATCCAGCTAACTAATACCTTTAAAATGAGTATAATCATGACTATGTGAGGAAAATTTTGGTTTTTCGAGTTTAAAGGCGCATGGACCATCGGAAAATCAAAATTGAGCAAAGTGGGTTGTGTTTGGGCTCATTTTGAAGCAAATAACAAATCGAATTAGAAAAAAGCTATATTTCCAAATTTCCATTGCTTACAGCTTCAAAATGAGCTCGAACACGACTTGCGAATTCGGTATTGGACGATGCACCAATTTTTTTGTAGAAACTACCGTAACTCATTTTGTTCTGCTACAATTTTATTGAAAATAAAATTTTCAAATTCAGCTTGTTTAGAGCTTCAAAATGAGTCTAAACACGGCATATTTAGCTAAATTTCAGTTTTTCGAGGGTCCATGCGCCTTTAAACCGGAAAATTCGAAATTCGCCTAACCTAGTCTTGATTATACTCATTTTGAAGCTAGTAAAACGGCAATTTCAAAAATTAAGTTTTCAAATAATAAAACTGGAAATATATCTAGTTACCAAGGCTTTACAGTTTTTTAAAAAAATATTTTGAAAATGAAATTGGATCGTATTCCACTAAGGGTCTGTTTTTTGTTGGTAAAAAACTATTTTTTGAATTTATCGCTTTTTTTGCTTTCAAACGAGCCCCATTTAGCTAAACTTTGGTTTTTCAAGTTTAAAGGCGCATGGACCCTTGAAAAAATCAAAATCGAGCAAAATGGGTCGTGCTTAGGCTTATTTTAAAGCTCTAAACTAACAAAACTCAATAATCTACGTTTGAAAACCAGAGAATCGATAATAAACCAAATTTGGTCCAATTTCAAATTTCAAGAATTTTTCGAAAAACCTTTAAACTGTCATTTATTTTCAACTTCACATCTTCAAAGTTATATAATTGGATTTGGTAGTTTTGTAGCTTCAAAATGAGTATACTCACAACTAGGTTCGGCAAAGTTTGAATTTCCCGGTTTAAAGGCGCATGGACCATCGAAAAATCAAAATGGAGAAAAATGGGTCGTGTTTAGGCTCGTTTTGAAGCGCAAAGCGCGCGAAATTCAAAAATTAAAGTTTCAAAGCTTAGTTTTGAGTTTATACACAGAAATAGAAAGTTTCCATTTTTCAGATTTCCGGATTTTCGGGGTTAATGGGGGGGGGGGGGGTCAAATTAGTACGAAAAAGGAGAAAAACAAAGGAAGAAGTGACCAGTGGAGGGGGTGATAATCGTTATCAGTGTAGTTCTGTGTGTTTTAGTGCTCTAAGTAAGAATTAGCAATGTAAAAGGGAGGGTAAATACGTTTACATGGTCAGTACATGGTCAGTGAGAAAAAGTACAATGAAACGGAAAAAAAATGAGCTTTAAAACCTAAAAAACATTGAAAAAGATAAAAAAAACTAGTAGTACGTCGGGATAAGAGCTTGTTTTAGGGTACTACAAGACATTTGTCTTATTCTCTCTAACACTCTCTCCGTCTTACACACTATTTCTCCCTAGTTGTTTGTTCAAAAATCGTCATATCTCATTTGCACAGCACAGGTCGAAGAGGGAGAAGAGATTTAGAGAAAAAAACCCCAAATTTTTTGAGAGATTTTGGTCAGTTTTTTGGCATTTTTAGGATAGTTTTGCTCTGGAAACATTTTTTTTTTTTAAATTTCAAATTCCCGCCAACCCAGATTTTGGGTTATTTCGCTTTTTTTTCCAACTTAAATTTTTCGAAATCCCGCCAACCCAAATTAAATTTTGATAGCATTTTTGGCTTAAAAATGATAATTTTCTGACTAT